GACCAAGCTCAACCCGGAAAGGCGCAAGCCATAGACGGAAGGTGATGCAATGAATGCATGCAATCTACAATGCAATGTCTACAAATATGCAATGGAATGGATATGGATACAATGGATATGGCATACAAGTCAAACCAAATTTTGCCTAGGAAAGGCATGGACACATACGAGCCATGTGTAACACAGAAAAGGTGCCGTAACCCTCAACCAACATATCAGCATGGAATCAGCGCGATACACATGCAGAACTGTGTTTTAACATGAAAAGTAAGGGCACATACCGGACCAAGCTCAACCTGGAAAGGCGCAAGCCATAGGCGGAAGGTGATGCAATGAATGCATGCAATCTACAATGCAATATCTACAAATATGCAATGGAATGGATATTTACAAATATGCATGACAATGCAGTATGATGCGACCTACTGGGGAAAATGCAATGGATGCAAGTTACAATGGAAATGCATGACAATGCACTATGATGCAATGACTATGATTGCAACTTTCCCTATCTTACCAACAAGGCGATATACTAGGTTGCTTCAGTATCCAGAATTGAGGCGTAGACATGCCGCCTCAACCTATGGGGCTTCCATACAGATTTCAAGCCGAGGGTAAACCTCTGGGTATTTAAACCAGACTTTAGTCTCGGAACTCCCAAACCTTTGCGTTCTAGGCATAAGCCGTTTGAACTCTAGTTTCCACCGTCCCAGTTGATCTTCTAGGAACTCATCGCAAACATAGGCAGGTGGCTTTACCAGACCACCGAAATTCGTTCGGGCACGACGAACACCAAAGGAATTGCACCTTTAGAGGATTTAAGGTCTCCTAGACCGGGATGCAAAATGTATGCATGACAATGGGCAGATGTCTATAAGTTTGAGTAAATCGATTTGGTTTCTAACAGAGATCGTAGTAATTTGGATTCAATAGCGATTTGGTGTGTTTTCAATCTCTCTCTCTCTCTCTCCAGACACAACATATATACATGTGCATATCTATATATATACTCCTTTGTGTTCATTCAAATTGCTTGAATTTAAAATTCTGTATTCCTCTGCATTCTATGTTTTTATTTTTATGCTAGAAATTGCTTGAATTCTGCCGCCAGGATCATGAACTCTTTTCCACATTCCTGTTGAACCCGCTGGTAGAGGTTTAGGTCATAACTAGCTAGTAATCTAGGATTTCCTTCAACCTCAAAGACAAAATCAAATCATAATATAATAAATGGGGCTTAGTGGAAGCATTTATAAAATATAGCTAAGTCCATTGAGCAATGCATACATAATAACTTCATAAATAGAACAAGTCATTTACTATACCATAATATAATATTTACAACAAACTTCAAGTTCAACTTCGTACATAACTTGTTTCACAATCTACATATTACACATCTACCAAAAACAAACAAAAGACTATTCAAAAGGTTAACAAAAGCTTAGCCTCTCTTAAGACCAAGTAATGCTCCACACAGAGGCACTTCATGAGTAGCTTCTCAAAAAGGTGGACTTTGAAGTTTCTCTAGACTTGACGATCCACATGCTCACCAACAAATATATAAGGGAGAGAGGTGAGCTAAAACCTAGCGAGTAATATCAGAAAAAAGGGGTTAAATGAATGAAGTCACAACATAAGCAATGTGTATTGGAAAAGAGCAAGGAAGAAAGAAAAGAAAGCTGATGCAATGCTACTTTAGATAATCTAAGAGTATAACTGCGGGAAGGAGACAATATTACCATTATTATTATTGGTGTGTGTGGGTGAGGACGTTCTATAACACCGCGTAAGTTGCATGAACAGTAGCTGAATTTTCTATCCTTTGCCCATTTATGCATTGGAAATCTTTTTCTGGTCCTAATGCTCTTTACAAATTATTAGTTAAAGGAGATGCTGAGGTAGGCTTTTTACATTATTAGCATTGCGTCCTACAATGGTAAGCTTGACAAGGACTAATCACATTTTCTAGCAACATTCGCGATATTATTCTGTTATGCAAAGTTCTATGTGGGCAGTGGCTTGCAAATATGTGTCTCAATATTTTTTCCTTAGTGTTATAGTATTTTTTTTTTTCCAATTTTCATAATTGAGTGTCGGTGAGGAGCCCTCATTAAGGTCTGAGATGGTAGCAAACATGTAAAACTCGTCCATTCAAATCCTCTCTGCCCCTAGATCTCACGTTGCTGCAATAAGGATTGTAGGAGAATTACGTGCCCTGTTCTCTGTACACTTTTTGTCTGGCAGTGCTTGAAAGTCAACCCGGTTTTGTATATCACAGGTACATGTGGAGATACAAGATTTAATTATTCTTTCTCCAGTTTTAATTTCCTTCATATGAGTTGATATTTTAATTTTGCAATTGCAGGTTTATTACCGATTTCTATCTAGTACCTGAAATGGAGTTTTGGACTGTTGAAATCTCCAACTATAATTTTCTTCTCTCCAATAGATAATTCTTACATTAGTTTATCCAATTGATTCCAAAATTGTCCTTTAATATATTCCTCCAATCATATTTGGTCGATACTCTCAAAACTGTTGTGCTGGCTGATACCACGATCTAAGACCATTCTTCTAACGAAAACTTTCATTAGATGAGCATATTGCAGTACATGTAGTGCCTTCAAATTATTTGGTTTCCCACTCATTTAAATATTGAAACATAATTTCTTCTTCTTTTATTATTATATTCGATACTCGCTCTTGAATACTTTTGACAGGGAACATGTTCAATCATGAAACACTTTCATGGCCAAGATCAGTCCAACTGTTCGTCCAAGCAAGTAAATGATAGATTTGTCGCAGAGGCTGCACCATTGTCACCCTCTGGTACTGTTCTCATAATGTATGCTGCTTTTGTTTCTTTTTACTTTAGTTTTACTATTAGTTTTTCAATTTTGGTAAAGTATGGCGTTCTTTTAGGAATTGCAAGATATTTAGAGTTGCATACAACTGAACTGCCCATAGAATTCCATGAGGAAGAAATAAGGATTAGGTATGCTGAGTCTGAATCAACAGGAAAACAAGGGAGAAGTATCTACGAGAGAGGTTTGCATTTATGTTGGCTTAAATTTAGTTTATTGATTAATTGTTTTAATGGGTACCAATATATTGTTACAAGAAAGCTAAGGGAGAAGTATCGTTTCTAGCATTTGAATATCTAATGATTATGGCATGGATGGTTCCTTATTTTATTTAATTGCGCCTTTTGATCATGTTTATTCTATGTCCTAGGTATATGGCATATATTATGGACACTAATGAAGAGGAGAGAGTTAAGGTATTTTTCGTGTGTCTAGTTTGGGTCACTTCTTCTCAAAGGAAAAGGAAAAACCAAAAAGGGTCAATTTACTTGCAATGTCTCTCAATACATAGCTTTGATCTAAGAAATGTAATTGCTATTTACATTTTAGTTCTTTCTAGAGCATCCCCTTCAAATATAAATCCTAGTTTATTTTAGTTCTTATCATTGATTAGTTTCTATTTTTTTTCTTCCTCAGGTACACCTTATTCTGAAAGAACTAGGGAGGAAATCACTATCAGCAACACAGGTAAACAATCTTCAATTTTTTTTCCCCCAGTGAGATGGATCATCTTTGGTTAGTAATATTTCTTTGCAAAATAATTTAAATAATTTACTACCTAACCTCAACATGTTTATATTTCTACACATTTGGAAGTATTCAAGTTGTTTGGCGCATCTGACATGCATATTTCAGTTAGTTTGAAATATTCATGTAAGCTTATCAATAACTTTAGCAAATTCCCTGTTCTTAAAAAATGTAAATAAAAAATGAGTTTCTTAATTAGGTGAATGATCCTTGTATATTTAAAAAGTTGATAATGTGACAATGTGAACTGGTGTTTCTTTAAAATGTAGAAGTGTATAATCTTCTAATCATTATCTTATTCTGCAAGTCCTTCAAAAATATGTAAAGAATTGGATATCAATTCCTGTACCATTTCAGGATAAGTGATGACATACCAGTTGACAAGGATACTAGTTTGAGATTGCAACTTGATATGTCAATTTTTGAAAGTTTTTTGAAAGCAGAATCAAACATTTTGGAAACTTTGAATTTTAATTTTTGTAAAATTTTACTTTTCTATATACTCATTATGATTTGGGAATGGAGTGTTTTTGATGTGTGGATGTCAATTTTTTTCTTTTTTGTATGATTGGATGACATTTAATTTTTGTGCATTTTTAGCTATCCCAACTTTGATTTTTAGCGACGAAAAAGTGTAGTAGAGAAAGTTATTTGTCTTTTAGCGACCAAATATAGTTGTCGCTAAAAATGTCATTATTTTGTTTTTTGCGACCAAATTGAGATATTTTCTGACGAAGTATTAGCGACTAAATATTTAGTCTTGTAAAATCAAACATTTTGTGACAATATAAAATTGGTCGCTAATTGTCATTTTCAGCGACATTTTCAAAAATTCGCCACTAAAGACTTTTTTAGATGCACTTTTTGTAAGAACCCACATTTTTCATCCTAATCATGTTCATGAGCATTTGTATGATTATGGTTTGTTAAGCTTGCATGTGTGTGTTCGTGACTTGTCCTACCTAAGTGAGCGAGATCCATGTCTTGATTTGATACCTTTGTGATTTGTCTAAGTGTTATGTGCTTGCCTAAGTTATGTTTAGCCGACGTTATGCCTAGATCAATCCAAGCCGAGATCATCCTTAGTCTAGTGGTAGTATCTTGGAACCCCTTGTTGACCTCCGTCCTTGCCTTGAACACATTAGCCGAGATGTTACCTTGCACCCAAGCGATCTCGTCCTGGAGTGGTACGACCTAGGCCGAGGTGTGGCGCATCTAGGCCAAGATGTGGCACAGCTTAGTCAAGTGTTGTCCTTCCTAGCCGAGGTCATTGTCACCTTAGTTGCCGAAGTCCTTTGTTAGCCGATGTCACCCCTTGCCGGAGTGAACAACAATTTTGACTAAACAATCAAGAGCAATCAAGCGACTTTGTTTTTTATTCAAATGCCGTGAAAGTACAAGGACTTCTTTGGAACAAAAGTTACAATCAGCAAGACCAAACAAAGTAAACAAAGCAAACTAAAGATGATTTCAAGATGAAACCACCAATGTTTACAAAGATTACAAATTACAGAGAGAAACTACTCCTAAATTTAGATAAAGCTACTCCTAAGATAGAACTAAGTTGTTATGTTGTAGTTGATAGATCCATTCCCCTTTGGCACCTTCTGCTTTTATAATACCAGGTAGATCTCTAACCCTTGATTGCATGATTTCCCTAAATCCTGCAATTGTTACTGCACAACTGCTGCAATTGCTCTCTCACTTCCCAACCCTCAAGCTTTGCCAATTCTTCCTTTTTATCTGTTGAACCACCTCTCCTTCATGTTGCCACAAGTCCTTCAGTCCTTTGGACTTTCCATCGACAGAGAAAAACTTCCATTCTGCACATGACTCTTCTTGCAAGTTGTCCACTAAGCCCATGACCTAGCTTGATAACTGCTTAATCATCTGGACCTAGCCCGACAACTGCTTCATCATCTGAACGATCCAATGCATGTGATCAACCTTTCTAATGCCACCTGCCCTTGACTGCTGAAAGATTTCATTTTGATTTCACTGCCACGTGTCATCATCCGATAATCCACCCGTCGATAGAAATTTCATGAAAATGGGTGCAAACAGACCCTTAAAAATTGAGGCGTTAATTCCAACTTTAACGATAACATAAATAATAGTATAGATAGATAGATAGATAGATAGAAGAAGATATAAAAGATAAAATGAATAAATAAGATTATTGAAATTGGATTTATAATGACCCCCACCAACCCAGCTGAAAGAAGCTATATTATATTATTATGATTCATTAGGTGATTATTTTAGTATTTTTAATAAATAAAAAAAAACAAATAAACACAAAGTACAAAAGTCGTTTGTGTGGCAACAAAATGGAGTCCAAGTGACATCAATTATTTGACTTAAACCGAACTTGGATGCATCCTATTCACAATCGATACCGTGTCCAATGTATTTGTAACATTGACTACATTCATTCATACCGTGTCCAATGTATTACATTGACCATTTGGGTATATTCTTTCTAGGAAAATTATTATCTAATTTCGGTATATCATGTTACATTTTTTTCACGTAATACTTGATGTGCTTAGTTTATAAATTTTTCTTTTAAAGAAAAGAAGAAGATAAAAGATGGGTGAAATGTGACAATTATGTGACATTTTCTATTTAATTTTGAATA